ATATGTTGTGTGACTATGTATGAAGGGCCGGCTTTTGCTGACGATGTGGTAATGAAATCGGGTTTGCCTTTAAAATGTTCCCCTTGATTGATCTGAGCCATTGGAAAAGTTCTTCTGGTTTTATGGCGTGGGCATAATGATAAATATTTTTTATTCAAAGAGCTTACGATGTCAGAGGAAATGATACTTTGTTGGTAGCAGAAACATTGAATATATGAATTTAAGATGCATGATTTCTCGGGCTCTAACTCTTTCAAATAAAACTGTGGTTTTCTGCACATGTTTTAAAAAGATATTTATGGGCTTTGGGCAAAAACCAGGCGACCCTTTCTTTTCGCATACATGACGTCCAGGCGACTTCCGTTTCCGCTTTGCCTGCGACATGGGAAAACTTTTAGCATTTATCGTATGAATTTCTGAAGCCATTTCTATGGGCTCTTTTTCCATAAAAATAAATTCAAATGCCTGTGCAGCTCTTTTGTTTTACTTAACCCTTTCCCTTTTCCTTAAACTGTGACCCTTCCATTGGAATGCACTTGGCAAAGAAATTCTTCTTGCTTTGGCTTACAGTTTTGTGCCTTAGTATAGATTTTCTAAACATTTTAAGCTTCAATTTGTTTAGTTTGTAATCCATCGATTGCAGTTTCCCAGGAGGAAATATATTTAAATAAAGTGCAGCACTGGCAGCTTAGCAAACCAAGCCTCAGGCCACAACAATTACACTTTCAACTACAGCCAGTGGCAGACTTTTCAGCTCTGACATTTTAAGTAGGCCCTGCCATGAAAGGGACATAGAGTAGTAGAGTACGAGTATACAGCAGAAGAAACAAGGCTTCTGTTGTTTGTTTTGTTATTTCCGCTGCCATAGTCGTTGGCCCCACAATTATGATCGCACACAGTTGCTTAGTGTTCGTATTCCCATTACCCGATTTCCCTCGACTCCCCATCCGCCCTCCAGTTCGTGCTGAAATAGAGCCATGCGATGACTTTTCCCTGGCATAATAGGCCAGCACAGGGCCTGTAAAAAGTATGTGAGCACTCACAAGCTCCGGCTTTGTGTTCATGTTTGTGTTCATGGCTGGGTAATTGCGGCGACGCCTTTTGCTGGCGCAATTGTGACATTTCCCAAAACTAAAGCGGACTAAGAGAGTACACTTTAAAAGCTAAAAGACACAAATTTGAGTCAGCTAAGAAATTATTTAATTATTAAGGGTGCAACAAAATATATCGGGGCTTGCAAATCACTATTAAAGGTTGCCTAAAAGTATGCAGCGAAAAGAAGAATGTCGTTTGGCGTATTAGCTTCATCAGACTTTCGGACTTCAAATATATTGTAGCATATTTTTAGACACCTTTAAATATTGGTTCAATGCCATTAGTACTTTCTGTAGCACTCCTTAAAACTTATTACAATTTTTTGTTTAAAAACCGCTAAATAAACAATGTTTTTTGAAGGTCTATTTTGAAGTAGCCGTATATATCTTAGTAGCTTGGTAGGTAATTATTTTTTGACTACATATAATAATTTATGTTTCTACTGTATTTCATTGACCATACCACTGTTAATCCATTAATTCTATAAAATTCTATTAAAAAAATCTTTTAACTACTTCGAAACTAAATAACTTAAATAAACCAAAAATAAATGTTCAACTTAAATTTATTTTATTATTTTAATTCAAACCACACTTTATTTCAATTTATTTATTTATAATGCAAAATTTGAAATCCCGCAGGCATTTAAATAGTGCAGCCAATCTCTGCTCCATCAAATTGCCCCACTTTCCTTTCTGTCACTGCCAGATGCCCTTTTAGCCGGTTGTTTCTCCACTTAAGTACAGTAAGTAAACGGATGTTGACTCGCTTTTTGTGTTTTTATGTAAGCGGCCTCTGATGCAATGGTCGTTTTTTGTTTTGTTTTGTTTTGTTTGTATTGTTAATTGTTGGCGCGTGCTTTCTATTCATTTGTAATGCGACTTAAAGTAATAAAATAATTAAATAATTATTTATTTTTATTCAGCGTGCTGGGGAATTTAGTTTGCAGGGCGGGTAGCTAATTTTAAATGTATGATTTAAGAGCATTGTTCACGCGGGCATTTGTGCTGCTTTCCCATGAAATGTTTTTATTTAAGTACCCCCAGACACACACGTCCTGCCATTCTTTAAAGAACCTCTACTGCGGCTTTTGGACAGTTTTATGGCTCGCATCATTCCGTCTTTTTAGCTTTTTCCTCCGAACTCACAACTCACCCCTTATGTTCGCCTGGTGACTTATTGGCGTAAAAGTTTTAGAGCCGTTTGGCCAACAGTTAAGGCCGAAGACCAGTCAACAGCAGAGTTTCAGATCGTTCCCTGTATTGCACCCAAATGTATCCCATAAAATATTTTACAGTCGTGCATCTGCGGTGCGTCCAGATTTTCACAAAACACATACTGAAAATTTCTCTTTACTCCTTTGAGTAGACTTTTTAATGGAGAGTTATGTCTATCGGTTTGTTTTGCTGCTTAAATGCAAAATTAAAATGGCTTCGATTTCACGACAAATATAGAACTTGGAAAATATTGAAATAGATAAAGTCTTAGTTAAGTTAAACGTTAGAAACCATCATAAAACAATTGTAAATAGTAAAAAAAAAACCAGAAGGGGAATCTTGTTTGACAAATCTTGTTTTTATTAATCCCAGCTCAGTAAAATATTGAAGAATATTATAAACCCCAATTTAAAAAAAAGGAAAAACAAAAAAAAAAAAACCATTGCAAATAGATAAAATATTTCCTTAATTTATGTTAATGAAGGAAAATTGCATTTTTAAAACTTTTGGTTAAGATACAGTTAAACATTAAACAACATAAAATATGTAGACATATTTCCTAAAAATTTATATTTTAAATTTACCTGGAATAAATATAAATATTATTATAGCTGTTTTTTGTGAACTTTTAAATATACACATGGAATTTAACTCGAAGTAATTTTAAGCGTTCGTTATCTTAGTTATAACACAAAGTTTTACACTTTTTATTTTTTATTAATATTGTTATATTATTGATCTGCAATCATTCACTCTCTCTACTCTCTAGCCAAGTTCCTAATGCTTATCCGCTTAAAAAGGCAACTTTAAACATTACAAAAATACAGCGTGTTGTTAATAAATTACCCAAATTATGGAGGCGAGGCCATTGGGTTCTGTAACTGGCGGTCCTTGAGTTGGGGAAACGGGTTAAAACGGAGCCGGATTCGCACTAGGATGGCGACAGCTGGTGGAGTGGGCGTCACGGGGGTCGACGAGAAGTGGCTGCCGTTGACGGTGCGGCATCTTAATAAATTTTCATGCGCAACACTTTGACGTTATTAATACGCTGGGGCTTCGAGTGCCACGCACGCACCTAAAACCGCCAACCGAATGGCGGCGAATTTTGCTTAATTACACGGCTTATCCGCAGCAGACACCCGACGAGTGCGGTTGCCACGTGGAGTGGGCCAACGAAAGGAGTTCGTAGGGAAAATTAATTTCGAACGTCACCCGGCCTCGGTGGCCCTTCCGTTTAAGATTCTGCTCTACATTTATTTGCTTTAAAGTCGAACGCAATTTATGTGTTCTACAGAAATAGGACCAAGACGGGCTCTGCATTGCTAGGTGGCTTAATTAAATAAGAGGAAATTCCATCGGCCACAGGTTCATTGAAATGCGCTAGGCATACAAGTTTAACTACATGTTAATGAAGTCGGGAATTCTATTTAGTGGCTTATTTCCTAGACATCTGCCTGTCAGTTTACAGGAATTTCAATAAAAAAAAAAAAAAACTCACTTTTAACCTTATCATGTTTAACTGCCAAATTACCAAAGGTTGTTAAAGCCCGCACAACCTTATACACCCGAGGTAATACTTGGCAGGTTGCAATTTAAAGTATATAAATTTAGAAAATTTGTTATATTAGATAAGATTTGAAAAATATACATTTAAATTAATATGAAATATTTATTTACAAGCCATTGTAAGATTACAGGAAGAAATGTCTGGGAAATAAGGTAGTATTTGGGCATATTATACTATATACTATATTATACTTTAAGTGTTATTTCCTTAAGTATTTGTATGACAAATTTTAAGCTTAAAGTGCTTCAATTGCAAAGCAAAACTACGTTTCAAATCAATTTTGGAACTGTTGTTAATGCTAGAAATTATTTGTAAATTTATTATTGTGTATATAGAGGTTGAACTTATTTTTTTAACTTCTAAATTGACTTGGCATAGGCATTGATTTTAGTACTGCATCTCGGTGCTAGAACTCTTTTGTAAATTAACTACTGAGCATATAGATTAAGGCTAAACTAATTTCTCGCAGTGTACTTCTAAATTGACTTGGCAACGGCATTGATGAGCCCCGCCCATCGATGTTAGCAAATAATCTTTCTGCTCTGGCATATTCCCACTGTCAACGGCATAATCAGCCAGGCGGGCTGACATGTTAAGTCACTTTGTCGTCAGGACACACATCCTGACATTCTGACATCCTTTGCAAGCCATCGTTCCGCCGACCCGGACCCTTCTTCTATCCCACTTTTCTTGGCAAATTACACGTCTCGGATTTGAATGCTTCGGTTACTTTCATTTGTTCGAGCGGGTGTTTGTTTGTGTTTTGTCTTGTGGCATTAGTTTAAATTAATATCTGGAGCAGGTATTATGGCAGACAACCCGCATCCACAATCACATCGCAATCCCTTGTCGTCTTCTCGGGCTTCACTTATTTGGATTTGGGTTAAATAACGAGGGCGAATGCGAGGCGATTGGAGCAATAGCAATAGCCTAAATTAAAATGTTTTGCCAGATAAACATTAATTGTTGACTAAACCAGGACAATTTGTGCAGCACCTGGGGCTGAGTTGAACTGGTGCTGGCTTAAGGAAAAAGGTACTTCTTAGTAGTAAGCCGGCACGCGATAAGCGGATTTAATTGAGGATTTGTGGTTCTTTGTTGTTGTAGGTAAACCCGATAAATTGATTATTAAATATAAATGTTTATTAAAATTAATAAAAGCTTCGAGCTATGAGCTTAAATTCAAGTGTCGATTTGTCAAACTTCATCGCAGACAAACTCGTCCTCCAGAAAATCGCCGAGCGAAGCGTCGTAGTCAAATCCCTGTTCGTCCCTGAGCCACTTTTCATGGTCAATACCCTTAATTTCGCATACGACCTTGAAGATTAATTCCTCCTTCTGGGTGTAATAATCGGGTGAATTCAATTTTGAGTCTAGTCGGTCAGCCTCTCGCTTGAGTTGCAGTAGCTTCTCTTGAAAAATATGGAAGTCCTCATCGTCTTCTTTGGCGGTCTCCAGGGTGAGCAAGGCCAGGAATTCAGACAGGTGAGACTAGGGGAAAGCCGGAGTTAAAGTTAAGCTCAAATATAATTAATCGGATCTGGGCTTACCACATTCGCATGACTCTTCAAGAGGTTCTCGTCGTGGGCAAACTCAACCGCATATGCAAAGCAATTCATGGCGCTGATTCCAGCTTGAAAGTCTGATTCGAATTAGACGGAGGTCTGAGGTCTTCGCTGTCGGAGCCTCGGCTCGTCACCATTTATTGGCCTGCAATTTGTTTACATTATGCATGGCGTGAGTTGATTCGGCTCGCCCCCAACACCTCCCTCACCCCTCCCCCATCCCAGCCCCTTTCAAAAGGTTTTCCGTCTAGGCCTGCGGAATGTTTATTTTCGTTGCCACTCATCGATGTCGAATAGTCCCCCCAACTTCCCCAAGATCTGCGATGGAAGTGTAGCACGTAAAGTGACACGTAATCAAAACTGAAATGCTTACTCAGCTGGCAAGTGCAGTGCAAATCAAAGCTCAAGTTTACAATTAGCTAGCTAGAAAAATTCGAAAAAAACATACTTTGCTAAATCGCAGGAAAAGAAAAATTTGTGTTTTCTTAATATAATACTTTCAATGTTTAAAATACTAAAAATAAAAGTCAGCCACAAAATTTTAACTTTATACATTTTATGGTTTATGTAACAGCCTTAAGTTCATTTATTTACACTTTTTTAAACATTAAAATTTCGTTGTGCAAATATTACGATAAGTTTTTAAATGAAATTTAATACATTTTACTAATTTAAATTTATGTGTATCAAAAAACCTCATGATTTTTTTTTTGGTGAAAAGTCTTCTAAATATTGTTATATTGTATAATATTTTAAAATAAACTTTAACAAAAGACTTTTATTTAAAATGATTCTGAAGTCTTGCAATTATATTCGCATTTTATAAGTCAACTTTGTTTAGACTCCATTTCAATTTTGCTGATTATTCGGAACTCATTTGTCAGCTTTTCGTAAATATAAGCAAAAAATCAGAAACAGCTATAAATCAGAATCAAATTGGGCACACACAAGGAATATGTTTATCTGGAAGAATTTTGATTTTCCGCATTGAGCAACCCAAAGAACTCCAAACAAAAGTCGGAAAAGCAGCCAATAACAAGTCTTATGCTCAAGCTGCTGCAGTGAAAAAGTAAATAAAGCTGATATAGCGCCACGTGAAATACAAGCCAGCAAGTGTAAACATTTCCAGAAATAAAACGAAAGCATCGACTGGCGCTTAGACAAATAAACATTGAATGCGAATTGCAAACGCCATTTAAGAAAAAATGTAACAGTAGAAGGTCGAACCTGCAAAAACTTCAATTCTGTTTCGTGTATAGATTATAAAATGAACGTTGTTTGAAGATACATTTCCAACTTAAGCCCCCAAACAAGAGGGCAAAAAAAATACTAAATCAATAGATGAAATATAAAAAAATAAGTTTAAACTGTTAGTAAATGTTTGTATTAGATATGAGAAAATTTTGATATATATGTAGGCTTGCTTGAGATTATTTTTATAGCTTGAGTTTCCAAAAGTTACCTTATAACTTTGTATTTATTGTTAAAGTTACATTTGCATTATATGCAGATCGAAATATAAATGAATTTTTAGAAATTGAGCTTATGGTCAGATGAGCCATTATTAGAGCATTTCCATATTTACTTGGTTGTTATTTATTTAATTGCCTTGCATAAGTCGGTTCAAGTAAAAGGTATCTTATTGGATGGGGGCTTGTTAATCTCTCAGTAGCAAAGTAATTTGTAATTGTATTTTTTTGTCACAATCAAGCTTCAAGTTGCTTAGACACTCTTGAGCATATTCAAATTCAGTTAATTAAGTAATTATGTGTTGATTAGTCGCTCAAGTATAAGCAAAATTGTTGCAGTCCCACATGCCCATCCATAGCTACCTAAAATTGACAGCAACGAACTCAATAAGCTGCGAAACCAACGACGTGTTTGCGTTTGCCTTCGAGTCCTGATGACGGGGAAGGAAATGAAATAAATCAAGGCTCATTAGAGGCCTCGAGGTAAAGACGACACATGTTGTTTGTGTTGCCATGTGCGATTTCGCCTATTTCAGTGCACCAAAGGCAAGTCGACAGTCGATGTCAACTTAATCATCGTCAGGACAACACATTCGGTGCCTCCAGGAGTGGAATTTCAACTCCTTTTCTGGCGATAACACGACATATTGCCAGCTCATTACGCCAGACTGTCTGTCAGTGTGGGAGTGTCTAATGGGTATGCCTTCTTTTGTCAGCTTCCTACTTATTCTGCGGCGTTTCTAACTTTCCATCGTCCGCCCCCTTGTCTCTGTCCTAATAATAGCAATATTACACAAGTAATTAGTCACGCATTTAATTATTATTTATGGTTTTTGTCACAGTGTGCGGGTGTGCCTCAGCTTTTCTTCCTTGGCAACTCCAGTTCATCCTTTTGCCCGTGAGTCTGTGCGTGTGTGTCTAACAATTATTACATGTAATTATCCACTTGAATGCTTGTCCCTGAATTATCAGTGAATTTATATGACACGTCTGATAAAAGTTAGTAAGCCTGTTCTGGATTGGCATGCCATTAACATATGCATGTCTAAGTAAGTAAATTATGAATGAAATCTACATAGCTATTTTAGGAATATTGTTCATGTCTCGGAGATAATAAATTCAATGATATATTTTGGTATATGTAAGTCTATTTCGGTAACATTAATAAAGCCGCCCACCTTAACAGTACAAATGAAAGAAGACACCTTAAAATTTCCAAAAGTCAATTGACTTATTCTTAAAAAAGAGCAAAAATTTTAAGTTTAAGACCCGATAATTTCCAAATGACAAATTGTACATACTTAATAGAGACTCTTCTGATTCCGATGCTAATAATACTGTTTTTCAAATACAGACATATTAATATTCATAAAAGATAGGTATTCTGCTATTAAATTGTAGAATATACTATACTTATTTCAAATCTAAGAAACTCTTTTGAAAAACCCCTAAATATAATAATTAATTGTTGGCAGAAATAAATATGAATCTATTAGGGCCAATCAAATCGAAATGTTTGATTAATATATTGTTCGATAGCAGCTGTTGTAGTCAATCGGGTTAAAGTGAAAGTTAAAGTTAAAGTTTAATCACGTAAATCAACGTGACCGGATCTCAAGATGTTGGTCCGTGGAAACTTTCATCGATTAAAAAGTTTTTGGGCTGCCCAAGAATTATCAGCTAGCAAAAGCAAAACTTGTAGCCGACAGCTGCCGAATGGAAAAATGTGATTTGTTTGTTGCATAATAATTGGTGGTGATAGGCATCCGCTCAAGGGCGACTTGAAGTGCCAAAAATCGAATCCAAGAGTTGGCCAAAAGGCAGCCGGAAAGCAAAAATAATACACCAGATTGGCGAAGTCAAATCTCTGTTGATTGGCCTGGCACGTTTCCTTGTCAGCTGTTTATTGAGGCGTGATATAATTAGCATAACATCGACACGGATTCGGTACAAAAACCGAAAAGAAAAATAAAATGAAACGCGAGCAAAGACCAGGCTTAGACGCAATTTGCTTAATGCTTAAACTTTTAATCACTCATACGCTCCGTGGCGCCAAAGAAATAGCTCGGGCTGCTCGGCCGGCAGAGGAAAAACAAATTTCACTTCAGAGCAGAGATGGGCTGCTTTCTCCGCATCCAAGGCAAATAGTAAACAAAACGTTGGGCGAAATGAAATAAGTGTAAATACGACAAAAATTCACTAGCACACACACACACACTCGAGCTGCTCACTCAAATATGTATGTATGCGCATCTGATTAAATACAAGTGCGTATGTGTGTGAGTTGGTTCCTGCTTATATGACTTTTATCCTCTGGAGGGTCGAGGGGGGTGGAAAAGGGGGCTGCAGCCCCATTGGGCCGCGCCACCCCACCCCCACCAGTCCCTTCCACAAAAAAAAAAAATTCATCTGCTTTGCCTTAAGCTCGAGTTTAATTCCTGCTTTGACTTTTGCAATGCACACTCAAAATGACGACATACAGTGGACTCCCTTATAATAACATACTAACAATTTTAATTTTCTTAACACAGCATTTAAATTTTTTTTTAAAGAACTCTCTGTATTTCTATATTTTTGTTCGATTAAATAAATTGATCTTACTAATCACATAGAATTTTTCTTTTTATTGAGTTTATTATTATTAAATCAAATGTCGTGTTAATTTATCAGAAATATTTAATTGTAGATAAATTTACACAAATCACATTAAATTGAAAATTTAATATAATATTTTAATATAATATTTTAATTTTTAATAAATATTTTAAGAGCTCACTGCATGATTTCATTTACGTTTTAAGCTTGCCAAAAATGTATCAAATATAACGTCAAAAGGAAATTATTATAAGCGACTAATTAAATACTTTAAGGTTTATCGGTCTTTTTTATCAAAGATATTTACAAATTATTTGGTACTTAAATAATTTGATTCTCAGGTATTAATATTAAATATTTTGTTTTATTTTTTTTTTTCAAATTAACCTCGTTTTTACAATCAAGGGAAAACATTTTGCAAATGGCGTATGAAAATTTCTTTGGCAGAAAATAATTGAAAGAGTGTTTGAAGAATCAGAGCCTCAAAGTGTGACTTTCCGTCTTTTCTTGTGGTTTTTCCGTTCTTCAGATTACAATGTAAGCCGCGGCGCGTTAAAGAGAGTCTCTGTGTGTGTGTGTGTCAGTGGGTTGGTGGTTAGTTGGTGTGTTGTGCGCTGTGTGTGCCGACCTATTTGCTTAAACACACTCTAACTGGCACTCAGCCCACTCCTTTACGCATCCGAGCAAAGGAACTGTTCCCTCGGCAAACGCCTGGCTGCGTTTTCTACTTTCGCCTCTCATAACACATTAGCGCAAGTGAAAGCCGCCATAATGACTGCCCCCAGTTGATTTTCATTCGCCTTTAGTGTCTGTGTCGCACGTACATTTATATTAGTTCAGCGAGACACCAAAAGCGAGGGAAAAGCAAATTGCCGGGATTGAGAATGATGATGAGACGAGTTCTTACGTTTCGAGCTTCTAAAAGGCGATTATTTGAATTTTTTGTGCTAAAATATCATATGATATAACGAGATAAAGGTTTGGTTGCGTATTCTTTTATATAATAGGATTATGATAATACAACATATAGCGCATATCCCTACGCTATAAAAAGCGAAGAAATATGCAATTAATAAACATTTAAGATGGTAAAACTTTTTAAAACATGTGCCAAAAAAAATATAGCTTAAGACCGAAAAGTTAAACGTAAAAATTTGTATCGAAAAAATAAAAAACACCACTCCGCGTTTGTAATCATTAAGTGACTAGAACTTAACTTGCTGTGCCCAATTCTCCTTATAAACTTACCAAAAAGTGCTTGTATAAAATCCCCGTCTTTCCTTCCGGTGCCAAAAAACTTGTAAGCAAGATGAAAACACAATTTTGAAATGTCAGTCAAACATAATAGGAAATTCATGGGCAACTACTTTTACTGGCAGTTCAACTTTGTAAATCTTATTTGGCCTGTCGATTGCGTTCGTGTTCGCATTCGTATTTTCGTTTCATCGACATCACCAGCACCATCGCCATAGCTATTGCCATCCCAGAGGGCCAAAGAAAAAACAAACTTTTATTAGTTTTCCGGCCAAACGTTAACCGTATTAAAAAACACTCGGCTACAGCTACAGCCAACATTAGTGGGACGCTGAATATGCGAGACCATAAAGCAAAGTGTGTCACACAACTGATAATCGGAGCCACACCAACAATAGAATGGAAATTGAAAAACTGTAGCACACTTATTTGGGCCTCGAAGTGCCCGAACTTCTTCAAAAACGCATAAAAAATCAATGGCAAGAGCCGCCATGTGCGCAATAAATGTCAGCTACAAACGAAAACTTCACATGTTTTTCTCGACTTCCTGGAAAAGGATGTCCGCTTTGGGTGTACGATTGTGTTAGTGTGTGTTCGTCAATTTTGTAGAGCACACTTATGTGAGCAGCCAAAGAAAGTCTGTCCCGCACAAATTGAAATCCGCCATAAATTGGTGAGCAGAGACTGACTGAAAAGAAATAAAGCAAAGTCGAGTCGAGCCGAGCTGATGACAATTTATTGTTCACACTTGCAACTGATGATGGTGCTTAGGGGAATATACAAAAAACCAACGTGAGCAGGAACGACGTGTGTGTGAGCGTGTGTATGCCAACGAATATTTCATTGTCTGGCAGTGGGCTAAGTGTAGGCCCTACAAATTGCCAGCCATTATTTTGTGCCTATGCCAATACTCCAAAATATATTGGCGACATATATATGAGACTTAGAGATGAGAAAAATCACAAAGTCCAGCATCAATATGGTATCAATGTAAATATTAATATTTCTCATGTTGATACAATACAAAATTAATTTTAAACATTTTTCAAAATAAATATTTTTATTTGAGAATAGTTAACATCAGCTGTTGTTTTAAATAGTAATACAAATTATCAAGAAATTGCCCACGATTGGTAAACTTTGTTTTATTCTTTATATTTCCTTGTTTTAACAAGCAGAAAATGTTTATTTGCTAAGTCCAATTTTGTTTTATGGTAAAGTGTATTTTGAATTTTATTCGAAAACTCCGTTGTTAACAGTTTATTAATTTTTCAACTAATTGTTTGCTAATAAGGAATAAACTTTGCAAGAGTTATTTATTTGGTAAATTTTTTATAATCTGGCTACTTTTTACAATTGTCTGGTCGTTTTTAAATTAATTTTTCTTTACAATGTTATGTAAGCATTTAAAAATATTCTTTATTTTGGTATGCATTCTCCATCCCGATAGTTAAAACTGGCTGTCACTAGTTGTTAAAGTGTGTACATATAAAACCAAAAGTTTTACCGAAAGTGCCTAAAAACCTCTAATAAGACTTTAGAACAAAAGCTTGAGCGACTGAATGCAAGCAAAAGACCATCTCTTTTTCCCATTTATTTTCTTTTACCTGCCCGCGTATCGAGATGTAAATTCATTTTATTTGCCTTATTCTATGGCTGTACAGGTGTGCAGACGATTTTCAATTGTGCGTCTTGTGCTGCTGGCAGGCGATGATTTAAATGGCCGGGAAGTTTTACCGACTCGTCTGTTTGTGGGGCCTACGACGCTCTTTCACAACTTTTGTGGGGAACTAAAACTTTTTCAGCGGCTGGGCCTGGGCCATGCAAACAGTAGGAAAGTTCTTTCCAAATACCTTGCACAATAAATGGAAACTTTTTGCACCTTAAACGATGCCTCAAATCATATGATTACAGGTTATTTTCCCTTCGCGGAATTTCCGAAACTCGCAGTTAGACTGGACAGCCGCTAGATGTTGCGATGCGGCTCGTTTAACACATTTAAATTCATGCCAGACAACCAAAAATCCACTTCCACAGCCTGCGGTGGTATTTATGAGTTGTTGCTGTGGCCGTCGCTGCCATTACCGCAACTAAGTCTCGGCTAATAGCGGCTTTAAAATTTATAGAGTTTTCGGACTGTCAGACGGCTTAGCAGCGAAGTGATTGCCCCTGCGAGTAGGTCGACATAAAATTTATGCAGCTTTTGGCCTGATGGTATCGTGAGTGAGACAACTGTAATGTGATACTATTCCCAGTATTCCCGGAATATGCAAAACAGCTGACTTGGGTTTTGGGTCACCAATTAGGAAAGCATATAGAAACCCTTGGTTTTGGCTTGGAGAAAGGGTATCCACACTTTGGCCAGCCCACCAGGGAAGCTGTCTTCTTTCCTTGTTGCTTAAGGCGTGGGGCTCGGCTTGCCTTTTGACATATTATGCCATAATTCCTGCGGCAAAACGTTTAGTTGAGCTACATAAATAATAAATATACAGGCTCAGGCTCAGGCTCAGGCACTGGCCTACATACACACAACATGACATTTTTGGGGGTTTGGGACCTCTTTGGGGCTGATTTTGTATACGTGAAAGTTTCTTTTCTATGCTCCTCTGGCTTGGGTCTTGATTTACAAGGCTTCAAGACGGAGCTTCATGCTCGAGCTGCTCTCTTGCCTTTTAATTTGCATTTTGCTCGGCTCAATTCGTGCAGCAAAATTGTTTTCGCAAAGATTTAGCATAAAATATTGAAAACATTTAGACAAAGTAATAGCAATGTGCCAAGTCTTATGTAAAATTTATTTTAATTGTTTTTTTTTGGCGCCTGTCCCTTGTCGTTTTCTGGTGCTGTTCACATCGATATGCAAATTTACCCAAGTCCAAGTCACTGCGGAGTAAATCGAAAAAGTTTTGATCTCCAAGTAAAAACTAATAGTCGTAAATATGTATGTGCCAATGCCTGAGCTTAGAAATGTGTCCAAAAAGCTCAAAGCGACTTAGTTGCAATGCCTGGGATTAAACCAGTTCAATCTCCGCATTCTGGCAATGGCGGACCGATTTTGATCAAAATTTCCACTTTGGATTTAGGCAGCAAAAACGTCTTCTTTCTTGCATTGCTAATGAAATTAAATTGAAACTTTGCTTTGTTGGCGGAGCAGGGATAACGGAGGCAAATCAATTGGTCTGGCAGAGCTTTCATTAACGGGGGGTTTTTTAAAGTCTAATCATGGTTTTCAAGAACGGGTTTTGGTCGGATAAGTAAACATTATAACACAGTCAAGCCTTTAGTATTATTCTTGGTTGAGCTTTTTATAATTTTGTCATGTTTTGTACGTTTTAACGATAAAATTAATATTTTAGGACTGACCATATAGTAATCAGCCTTATAATTTGGTCAAAACTAAAACTGTAAGAAAATGTTAAAATTACAGAAAGAAAGTTTCAAAGTCTAGTCATGTTTCTCAAGAATGGGTTTCGGTTGGATAAGTAAACAGAATAATAATGGCTAAGCTTTTGCACTATTTATTTGAACGTTTTAATATATAGTTCAATTTTTTTTTTGGTTTGGGATAAAATTAATATTGAAGAACTAATCTCTTGTAAAATTTTTGCAGCAATTTTTTCTATTAACCTATATTTCAAGTCTGGTTCTCATGAATTCGGATAAGTTAATTACTGTATTTATACGATGGCCAATTTAAGCAATCGTTTCATGTATAAACACAACCAACTCGCTTTAAAAAAGTTAATTAATTTTCATATTCGCTGCGGCGATGGTAAAAATACTTATAAAATGCGAAAAAAAATAATACTAGCAGAGGTGCCATGTTTGATTTCATGTATTTAAGAATTAATATAACTCATAACATAATTATCAAGCCTTAAAATTTTTGTTCAGAGTTTTTCATTTTTTTCTTTTAACAAATTAATATTAATAATTTTTAGGACTGATCTTTTTTAAGGCTGTTGCATAAATGTTGTCTGTAGATTCTGAGAGCTCTCAGAAAACTAAAAAATTGCATTTAAAAAATAGAGCTCAATTTTTTAGGAGAACTCTTATAAATTAATAGCCACTGGCCATCTGTGAAGGAACCCTCCAGTGTGCTTTCATGAGCCATTATGTTCATTCGACGCCTTTGCAGTTGCTGCCAGTGGAAACTGAGGACATTAATCTTTCTGCCACATAGAATTTCATGTGGGCGAGACATTTACCAACAGCCCTCGGCGATGGTGCACTTTCAACTTCAACGTGTTGAAGAGTCCAAGCGAATGAAAGTCGCGAGCTGATGTGTTGGGTAGAATGGTGTGTTTTCTGATCCAAACAGACCCTACAATCTTGGGACATCTCGGCCGAGTCCATTTAGCAGAGATTCCCTAGCCGCAGGCCCATTTGCTTTGGCCCGAGCCAACTTCAATGGGCCTAAGCCTCAAATATGTTTGGCTGCCCAGTGGCAAAATGATACTCCGCTTAAACAAATATATCCAAAGAAAAGAGAAAAAAAAAAATAAGGAAAACCTATGGGACATGCTTCCGCACAAGAATGTTGGGCAATGGCCTACGGTGCCTTTTGATATGCAAAATAAAAATTGTGAACAGCGATTTTAATAAATATTCCCCACACAGCCATTCGCCATTGACGACAGCACAGACAGACAACTAGAGACCTCCTCGAGGACATTGATAGAACGGGCTGCTTATTGAATTTTTCAAAAGACCTTTTCTGTTTTTTGCCTCTCTCACGAGGAAAATCGACTTAAAGTGTTTTAAGCCAAGTGATTTTAAAGAGCTTTGGCTGCATTCTTGCAAAGGTGTTTCCTAGAATTTGTTCGGGGTCACGGCAGCAGTTAAAGGTCTTATGGGTTGACTTCTAAAGATATTAAAGTAATTAGATGTTTAAAATTAACTTATAACTTACATCTTAAAATGTATAGGTATCCTCCCCTTAAAGTCATCAAAAATTTAAAATTAAATGGTTATTAACTTGCACTATTAATTGTTAATTTATTTGATTTATTCTTATATAATTATCTACAAATGGGTTATATATGTTTTGCTTGCTATATTTAAGTAAAATTTAATTTAAATTTTTTCAAAATTTAAATAGCTAAAAAATTGAATTAAAAGCAAACAATAATAATATTCTGTGATAGCTCGGATTATTAAAAATTAAATGAACCTTTTTCCAAACGGTTCAAACGGGGCCAGTTCATCAACACTATTATCGCCATTCTGTTGCACCTTTGTCCATATTGTGTCTACTATGGCGAAAATCCAGTCAAAGTCAAATCCGCTTATATATTTTAACTAAAGCCGAAAAGCAAAATCGACACCAATCTCATCATGTTGACAGAGAGTGCCAAATTAATCTTAGCCCTCAAAAGTAAAGCCGATTTTCCGTCTGCAGCAGATCGATTTCAGGGACAATCAACGCATTTTTTGAGTTGACTGAGGGCTTTATTTGTCTTTTATGACCCCTCTAAGAAGGTAAAATATTTTTTGCCTGCTGTTGATATTTTCGCAGCCGTTAAAGCGAATAAAAATATATATACCGCTGCGGAAACAAAGCATGAAGTTTATGACAGAAGCGTGAAAAAAACGAGAGGATGATGGCCATCAACCGCAGCAATCGGGTAACCAACCAAACCGAGCCATTAAGCTCTTCCGCACTCCACTCAACATTTTTGGCCCAAAGCAACACAAAAAGTGAGGAAATAGCGAACTGCGCTCGATCGTTAAATCAAAAAGCCGCATGCGAGTGCCTGCAACATCATTAGTTGCAGTTCACACACACTCAAGTGCAAGTTATGCCACCAGATAGTCGCCCCCAAGCCCATCCGAACTCATTGAGCGCCCCCCGTTTTTTTTTTTTTTTTTTATGGCCACGCGTTTGCAGGCATTCGCTGCTTTTTTTCCGAGGTGTCCAAATTAAATTTGCATCAGTTGCTCCACGAGCATCTAAATGACGCCAAAACTGAAAACTGAAAGTGTATCTGTGTAAGTGCAGGACTGCAGTAACAACAATAACAACAACACCATATGAAAGGAGAAAAAATGCTGCACTCACTTTGGCATTTTGTGTGGAATTTTTTTTTTTGCCGGGTTTTTATGTTTAGAATACTTTTCTATAAAAGCGGAGAGTTCTTTTGCCGTATACTTTTTACAGTGGACATTGTCCAGGAGAAACTCAGGAGAAACTCATTTTAAACATAAAAATTACTGCAAATATATATATTATATGCGCTTTTCAGTAGTGAAATGTTTTTCACCCTTACTTGAATTATATTTCATCTGCGTATCTTATATTCATTACAACAAGTAATTAAAGAAATTAAAATAATTTTGATAAGCTAAAGTCATAAAAATTAACAAAGATTTTTATAATTCTTCCATTCCACGTTTTAAATTAGGTTGGGAACAAGTACTCTAATCATGTAAAACATATTAAAATTAGTTTTGAATCATATTACAAAAAAGTATAAAGACCTAACCTAACCTAAATATTGAACGATTAAACTTCTCAAACTATCAGCTAAAAAAATGTATTTTTTTAATTCCTTAAATTTGTACGTTTAATATAAATCTATGTTTCAGTTTAAGGGTCAATTTAATCCAAAGGCGTTCGACATGTTGACTTGAAACAAACAAGATTCTTTTAAGAAAATAAGGACAAAAAAAGTGAGCAAGCAGAATCAAAATCATTTACTAAGTTTGTTCACCTATTCGTATACTCAATATTTAACAAGTCACCTTTCAAAATGTGTTTGTCACGACAAGCCAATACATTATTACAGTTTTAAACTAAAAAACATTTTTTTAATGCAAATAATGTTTAATTAATTGTGCAATCACCATTCGGGTGATTCCAAATGCTGATTGGTGTCTTTATCTAGTAACCCACTGTAAATCGCTATGTGTGGCTATTTCGTGCCCTCCGCCGACTACCTCCACATATGTATGCATGTGGGTGCCTGTGTGCGGGGGTGGGCACTTAAATAATTTAGATTTTTGTGTCTAACATGCACAAGTGCCACCCCAATGGCCTAAAAGATTCAAGTGCAGCCGGCAAAAGTGAGTGACCCAGTTAGAGATTGCAAGTAGTGACAGGAGGAAGAGGAAGTGGACTTGGATGTGGATGTGGATGAGGATGTGGATGGGGTTGTGTAATGCGGGATATGGGCAGATGGCAGCTTTTACCAGCTTGTGAGTTATGGAAAGCCGTAGACTACCCACCTACCTGGCCATTATCTGCAAGCGAGTCGCGTAGCTGTTTGGCGACTGCTCTGCTGCCATTATGCGCTCATTAAAATGTCAAATAAATTCAAATGTAGAAAACATGATTTTTCGCTTTTCGCCATGAGGTGCAAATGGGTGAGCCGCACGTGGGGTTTGGATTGCAGTTCGCCGGGAATGAAGATAGTCCGTGCCGCACTGCGCAGCATAGTTGGCGCTGAATGATTTATAACTTACACGCGTTTGTCGGCGAGAACTTTGAACTTTGCTGAACCGAGCACGTTATGGCTTGGCAATGAGAATATTGCAACTAGGTTTGAATACATGAAGTTGGCATGAACTTAGTATTTTTAAAGTTGAATCATCCCCTCTGATAGCTTAATGTTGCGTTATCTGCTAGTGTTGATTTTTGCTGCTTTCTTTTAATTGCTTTCTTCCTGAACTCATTAGCAAGTCGAAATGAGTCTTTTGCTTAGCAACACACCACATTTGGGGTCTTTCCATTATGTTTTATAGTGCGTTCCTCTTAGGGCATTAAAAAGCACTCATTTGCTTTAATTAAAAACTATTTCCATTGTTTAGTCTTGTCTTTTTACTTGAAATTGTAAGGAAATCGTTTAATTGCTTGCCATATGTGAAATACATATATGATTATTATGTGCCATTTCCCCATTGTTTTCGTTTTATTGCTCTGGCGCTATTTGTCCTCTCAGCCGTAAAATGGCATGTCATCGTGCATTTTTGAAATAAAATCGAGTGCACACTTCCACTTACGTAAAGAACAAGCTCGGAAATGTAATTCTTGGTACTGAGGAAGCATTTTTACTGGGCATTGAGTGGCATTTAATTAATGTTCCGCCTTTTGAGCTATTGCTTTTCACTGCCCTAAGAAGATGTCATTTTCCCTTTTTTTTTTTGATCCCCTGAAAGGATAAGCTGAAAGTGCGGGACTGCGTGGCTTTCAAACTGTTTCGGCTTATCTTGATGTTTTGACCATGGATATTTGTTCTAGTAGAAGTTGAAAATTTCCTTTAGTGGAAAAGTTTGCGTGGAACAGATAATGAGAGGAAGGAAAAAAATGGAATTTACTCTTGTGTTAAGTCGCAATGCCTTAAAGACTGTGGTTCTAATATTTTAAATAAAAAAAATATTTCCTATCAAACATTAATTATTTTACGATTACATATTCCTAACAGTTTATTTTGTTTTTCCGCTGAGTGAACATGAAATTTGTTTTATAAAAAGGGAAAATGAATGGCATTTAAACCCTCGTATTAAGATGCAATTAAATAGACTTTAATGACTGTGGTTGCAACATTTTTTGTATAAAAAAATCATACCTTGTGAATATTAATTATTTTAAGTTGACGTGTTCCTTACATTTTATAATCTATTTTCTGAGTGGAAACTAAAAAAAATAATATAGATAGATCGAAAGAAAGGCATTTAAGCACAGGTTTTAAGATGCAATTTAATAAACTAAGGCTCTAATTATTAATACAAGAAAACTGTATCTTTCCAAAACCTATTATTTAAAATTTTCATATTCTTAACTGTTTTTGTTTCGCATTTTCTTCTACAGCAAATATCGTGGACGGCAATAGCAACCTGTTGCCCATAATTTCTGCGCCATCGCCCATTGATAATGATTACGTTTACATTGCTTCAGTCAATAGCAAATTTCCCCAGTTCGGCAACGCTTTGGATGAGGAGCAGGAGACCGAGGAGCAGCAGCCGGAGGAGACCACCTATCCGCCGCCCATTTTCGACTTTGGGATGCCCAGAAACATTACGACCAGGACGGGACACACGGCGGCCATCAACTGCCGCGTGGACAATCTGGGAGATAAATCGGTGAGTGTGTCAAGTGATTGCATTTACCAGCTTATCATTGAATGGATTTCTCTCCGCCAGATTTTCATTTTAATGCATTTTTAAGGGAAAATATTTGGTTCGTCAGTCAAGCTGAAAATCAAGTTAGCGCTAACTTTTCTCATGCAGTTTTCCGAGCAACTTCTATCTGCCTTCTCCATCGCTTTCGACGCCATCTCCTGGGTCTTAGCCACCCTTGTTTTGCCGGTTCAATGACAAAACTTTGCGCCTTTCTCTCAACCCCCCTGTAGTCTGCCCTTTGGCAACACCGAGTTTACTTTGCGAACTCGTTTTGGTTTCACTCAGCTCCACCTATTTTTCTTTCCTTTAATCTATGCTACGCCGCTTCTGTTTGAGTTAAGAGGTATTTTGTATTCGAGTATATTAGAGTCTTTCTACAAGTCAAGATTTTACTTTATTAGGCCACAAAAAATATCTGTACGAGGTAAAAACTGGTATCTAAAGCATTTTGTTAAAAAAGTTGTGAATGAAAATAATTTTGTTTCTCGGCACTAAACAGTATAACGTTTTAACTTACCCCCCAGGTATGTTTTTATGCCTTTAATTGTTTGAAAAGAGAAACTATCGGGGCTGACAAATAAATCACTAGAACTTTAAAATTTATTATGAAGACTTGTAAAAGTATGCAACAATATATTTTAGGTCTAAAACTCTGTTGGATTAATATCTAAGTGTGCATACTTTTGAACTGCTCTTTATGTGATTTTGAAACCTTAAAGGTTTCTGGGAGCCCCCACTGATATTTCTTAAGTTAAGTAAAAATAACAATGGCAAAATATGAGATTTTAAAAAGTACAATTAGTTTTTTAATAAATACAAATATAAGCTAGTCCAGTTAAAGTTGGTTAGAGTCCCTTCTTGAATTTGACTTTTGTAAAGATAATTAAAATTGCGTTTTCGTTAATTTTAATCTAAGCTTGTTTCTGGCTGCCGCCAGCTCACGTGTCCGACCCCGCCATCTTTCGTAATCACCATTCATCTCCTGCTCACCAGCAGCGTGGTCTGATCCAGATTTACTATCGCGCGTCTATTTTCCACGAGCTCGCCTGAGACTCTGTTCCCTTTCGCCACTTTGACACTTTTAGTTTCGCTTATACCTTGCCTGGTTTTCCTCGTTTTCCTCGCTTTACTCGTTTTTCCCCTGCTCTTTTGGCTTTTTTCATACGTCTTTTGGTCCTTCGAAAAGTTTTGTTTGCCCGCGGCCGTCTGGGAGATTACTTTTTGCCTGCTGCAGTAGCGCCAGCCTTCCTTTCAATTCGCCCGGTATTTTGCAGGGCTGTTGGCAACTTTAAGCCGCTGACATTTTGGGCACGCACTTGTCTCCATTTTTCTTCCCCATCTGCTCTTTTTAGCCAGGCCCTTTACTGGGTGAACAAATTTATTTTGTATAAGCTACGGTGAAGTCTGCTTTATGATCGAGTCAATTTTGTAGTTCGATTTGATTGTACACAATCGCTTTTAGTTAAATATCCGTTTAGATATTCACAAAGAAAGAAATAAATATGCCCAGTTACTCTTCAAAATGTAATCTCAACTTAAAGAGGGTGACATTTTTGCTAGGTCTCACTGTATTTTCAATAAGCTTCAGCAGGTTTAAGAGTTGCCTGCTTAGTTCATTTTGCCGCTTGGCTTATTAAATTTTCGTATCTACTATATTTGGGACTGCGAGAGCTCGTTGAGTTCCTGAGCAGCCGAGTGGCAGGACCAGGGGCAATTTTTTAAATTGACTTAAGCACTGGCACTAACAGCATTTGGTGTCCCTTTCTTTTTTTTTTTGTGATTTCATTGCAGGTATCCTGGATAAGAAAACGCGATTTGCACATTCTGACTGCAGGCATTTTGACCTACACATCTGATGAGCGTTTCAAGGTGCGTATACGTAATCTGGGCTAAAGTTATCATCCCCGTTCGCCCCGCAATTTGCAATTGGTTTCCCTTGGCCTGGGCAGCTTATTAAATGTCCACCGGGCATGTACGCAAAGTCAGCTTAATTGCGTATGCAATTCGGGCCAAGCAACTTGTATGCATTGATTAAATTTGCCAAGGACTCAGTAGGACTCCCATGCCCATGCCCCTACCAACGATTTATCTTGGCATTCAGTTTCACCCGCTCTGACACTGTCTCTCTCTCTCTCTCTATCTCTCTATCTCTTTCTCTCTCTATCTCTGGCATGACCGAGCAGGTGGTGCGGACCGCCGACTCCAAGGATTGGACATTGCATGTGAAATATGCCCAGCCACGTGACAGCGGCATCTACGAATGCCAAGTGAATACGGAGCCAAAGATTTCGATGGCATTCCGCCTGAATGTCATAGGTGAGTAAGGCGGCCCTGTTGGCTCCACTTTCCCGTTTCCAAGTCACCAATAGGAGGTCCCTTCCTCCCCCAAATCCTGCCCCATCATCCGCCTCCTTCACCAGATGCATACGCATTGTCAGCGAGTCGTTGGCATTCGCACGACCTGCAATGGCAACTTTTTATACACTCTGCATTTCTCTCCGGCGAAGGGCTTTGTAAATTGGCCGTAAACTTTGCTAGTTTCTGGAGGGCTTGGCAAGATCTACTGGCGGCGGTGCATTGGGTGCGGCAAAAGTTCCTCCTTCGCAATGTGGCAATGGCAATGGCTGGTTGGCGCGTACGTCATAATAGTTTATCCTTGCCATCTTGTGATTTCTTGCCATGAGAGGGATATATACCTTGCCGATTAACCAAGGGCAGGAAAACTGACTAGATTCGCTAAAAAATTTTTAAATAGAATGAAACAAGTATTTTTTGTACGTTTTCTTTTTTTGTTTTTAATGTCAAAAAGAAAGTTTAAAAGCAGTTCTTGAAGATGTTGATTCTAAAATAAACGTGTGTGATTTTACATTTAAAAATAAAAATAAAAATATAATATAATCACTGAAATTTAAATAAATTTTAAAAATGTATTATAAAACTATTTAAACTTATTTTAATTTTCATTAAATTTAATTTTTCGTTATCCTAGATATTATTTCAATAATTCTTTCTACTTTCAAAAACTTTCTTTCAAAAAAACTGAAATAAAACAGAGACATCCCAAAGCACCTGAGTGTCGGTGAATAACCGCAAATAAATTGATCAAATATTCTCGTTTTTAGCATGCATAGGGGCATTTACAAGTGTTAGGGTTTAAGTTTTAAAGGTGAAGTGGAACTCTGGCTGCCAACTGTAGGTCAGACTACAGAATAACAACTGTTGGCACCTGCCAAGCCCCCTCACCGTACCCCTCGTACCCCTACATTTCCGGCTTGTCTATTTTTCTACACGCTTTGCATGTAAACGCAATTTGCATTTAAATTCAATACTAAATTCATATGCTGGCTGTTGTAATACACACCGGGGAGTGCGGGTGTGTGCTGTGCCCCCTTTCGACGTCCCTGCCTTGAGGTGAACCCCTCAAACATGCTAAACACCCCGTATATCCCCTTTTTGCCTCATTGTTCTGCCATTTCACAAGTTTTCTACAATGGATTTCCGCTTGCGATTCGACGCAAGTCGGGGGTTAGGATACGGATACGGATACCCTGTTTGTTTGTGGCTGTGTGTTGCTATAAATTGCTTCACAAAGCATGCACGTTCATGTTTCATTCATGTACGTAAAATTGATTTGAAACTTTTTCGCCGTGCCCGGGCAGCCAAGCGAGCAAGGAAGCCTTCTATGGAGGGAATCTCCGGCGTCCATAGCCCTCCGCTCCACGTCCCCCGTAGTTAGACTCCTCGTTTGTCGTCCTTGGCGTCGAAGGGAAAGGAGAAAGAAAGTTTTGTTTGACCAGCGTGAAAGTTAATTGAAATAATCGGGAGAAGTTTGCTACTTTGCCAGTGATTGGTTTAGTTTCTTTTTCAATGTTTTTGTGTAATGTTTTCTTCGCAAATAACCCTAATCTAACCCTAATTCAAAACACACTTTCCTAGTGTATCATTTTTTATTTCTAAAATTTCCTTAATAATTTCATCCTGCAGTTAATTGTTTCTTTTAATATTTCCAAATTTAATAACAATAAATATCGATTTTTTCAATGTTAATATAATCATTTTGCTGGTGGTATAAGATTTTGTTTACAAATATTGTTTTGGAAATCAGAATAAAATTATTTATTACTTAAAATATTATATTATAATTTAGCTATATATTTTTTTTTTAATTTATCAATTTGATTTTTTATGTATTGTTATTTAATTTTACTTTCTATTACAATATACCCTTTTTAATATTTAATAATATATTATTTGTATTTATATACATTTGATATCTGTTGGGATAGATATTTTGCAAAGACTATTATAATTTGTTACACCTTAATTTCAAATGAGGTTACATTAACGTAAAAAGTATATACAATGTATAATTTGGCATCCAAGTGTTTTAATTTTTAACTACTTCATTATAAAATTTTGAAATACATATTATAATTTCATATTTAAAATAACTAAAGACCGCAATATTAATTCATGCCATTTATTATGCATTATATTTAATATTATGATTTAATTTCTAATTTAAATATAAATTCATGCCATTTTATATGCATTATATTTAATATTCTGATTTTAAATGATAATTCATTCCAGTTAACATGCATCGTGTTTAATATAATGATTTATTATTTAATTTAAATATTTAACATACAATTTTGAATTCATTTCGAAGATATTTATGATTACTTTTCCATCAGTTAAGTAATACATATAATTCGCTTAAGGATCGCTTGAATATCCATCTTAAATGGGTGTGTACCCACGCTGATAAAGGATAAGAGACTGCCAGTAACAAATTGCCTACCACCGGCGAGCTGCATGCCTCCAGTTTATAACGAACTGAAGTCAAGGGGTGTAAATCTCATCAAAAGGCAAAGTCATATACGGTTTCAGCTTCCGCAGTTGCTCGCCTGCAACCTGGCGGTGGAAAACATCCTGCCCGTCCGGGAACTGCACTGCGGATGTAGTAATCCTTCGCTTCGCTCCTTTTGGGGCACCCAGTTCATCGGTGACAGGAAGCTGACAGCCATGTTGTTGGCTGGGATGAGGCAAAACTCAAGCGACTCTCGCTGCCGAGTTAAGGAATTTATGCTAATGATTTGCACCGCCAGAAGCGCTTGACTGCGTTGAAATCGTGATAAAAATATTTGCGCTGTCTTCACGTGAATCACGTGAAGCATCCCCTGAAATTCTTTCGTCTGATTTATGCCGGAATTACCTTATACAACATTTATTTCATTAAAATGCTTTAAAAGTCTATTTATCAATTGTAGTGGTTTTCAGCTGTTGAATCTTTATTTATTAAATATTTTATTTTCAGAAACGTCAGAAAATACTTCCATATATTTTAAATATTGGTTTATTTAAAAAAAAATAATTTAATAAATTTAAAAATGATTAAATCGTTTTTATCTGTTATTATTTAAATTTTTTTTTAAGGCTTACACCTTGAATACATTTCATTTTAAATACCACTCCAATATAAAGACAAAATGTTTTTTAACTATTTTTATATATAATGCAACATAAGGCGATAATAGGATACCTTAAATTTTTTTAATTTTTATTTACTTAAAAATACTACTAACAATGTTAAGATAACCGTTTTTTCTTTTCTGTTTTATAATTGTTCTAATTCTAAATTATTTCAAAATATTTGTATAAAGAAATTAAATACTTCTAAAGCTAGAAAAGATTAAAAGTTCTTTAAGGACATCTAAGTGTTTAAGCTTACACAAAAAGACAGGAAAATGATCCCGTCGACCTTTGTATAAAATAGTAAACAGTTTTGCGTGCTTATACCTCGAATTTCCAATCTCAGAGCTTGGGAAAGTCAATGGCATTTAAGTCGCTATCTACGAGGGCTTCAATGGGATCCACTAATGCCAAGTTAACTAACTAACGGAATCGCTCTCTCGCCACCGAATCCACAGCAGTGCGCTGGAAATCCAGCACTGTTTGGGTGCCCGCAATCCGCTTTCATGGCCCACTGCCCTGCTCCTGCTACTGGTCGAGTTGGCCTGGTCCTTTGCTCCTCCCCGCACATCATTAACAACGTCAACATTTGACTTTGTTGACTGGCTGCCGCCTGCCTGCTGTGTTGGCCCAAAACGGTCGGTCGACGCACGGAAAAAACATTAAACCAATTTTCAGTGCCTATAACGGGGAAGTGGTAGTGGTAACAGGAGGCTGGCGGAGCTCCTGTCCCACACATTTGTCTCTGTCTGCGGCAGCTGCCGGGCTTATCCCCCACCCCTCCCTTTCGAAACAACGAAACCCCAACAACCAAGCGCCAATATTAGAAAAGCCACACGTACACATATATCCGTATGAGGGCACAACATTTAATGGCAAGTCCGCATTCGGGGCTCCTAATACTCAAACAACAAAACGGCCCACCGGCTGGCTCACAATAACAACCGGCTAACAACACTTAAAATGTATGTAAAATGCGAGACCATCAGCAGCCAAAACTAACAGCTTCATCGACAAACAATGGGTCAATGATATGGCAAGCTGAACAGTCGGTGGCGGAGGCAAGTTGCCCAAAAGCCAAGGCCATCAAAAAACCCAACAAATTTTTATGTGTTAGTTTTTTCATTAATTTTGGTCTTTGCTTTTTACACGATCGAGGAATAAAGTGTTTGCCACTGTGAAAAACTATAAAATTTGTAGCTCACCAAAGAATGAAAATTTGATTCGACAATATTGAACATTTTTTACTTTTACTGCCTCAGAGGATTTCGGTATTAAAATTATAAGCACTACAAATGCTTCCTAAAATCTATTTATCTTACCTTGCAAAAGAATCTAACTTTAAAAAATTAAACGATAACAGGAACATATATTTCAAAACTAATAATAATTAATTTATAGTTTTCGTACAGAGTTCTACTTTTAAAGGAAAATACATATAAATATTTAAAAAACATCCCCTTTTAGTTAATGGTCAATTATGGTTATATAATTAAAACATACGATTTACTACATTCATTTTTATTTTGTTATTTATTATTAAAAGAAAAACTTTTCTTAAGATCTTGGATTTCAATGAAAAATACATATTTTAAATTTGTATATCGCTTAATGGTCAATTTAATTTAATTTAATTTTTTTAAAACTTGTCAAGGCTTTTACTTTGCTAGTTTACTTTGCTAGAATTTCTAATAACAAGAAATTTGACTAACAAAATTGATAGTGCAAATTTTGTGTAGTAAACATGATGTACCAACTATTAAATACTATTTATTTTGTTTCATTATGAATCTGCCAATAATAAAGATTGCAACTCTATTGATTTGTGAAATGAAATTCATTTGCTCCTGGCAAAACATGTTAAATCTTAGCTGGAACAAAAAGGCCTTCTTTTGAACAATATGTTCGTATTTAAGTCAGAGCTGCCAGCTCTGGAAGCTGAATGTACTACTCGGCCTCAGATTACCCAGTAGCTGCTCAATATCAGTCGAAACCTGGTCTCCAGCTTTTGTGCCTTGGAGGTATTCCGGTCGAGCATGCAGCTCAACCACAAGCACATGCACATCTGAGGGCTGGGATTGCATGTTGGCTTTATTGGAATATTGCCGGCATTTCACTCCACCCAAACCAAACACTTACCCATCCCCATACCCATACCGCTTACAATCCCTCCACAACCCAATCAATTGGGACCCATTGAAATCTGCGTTTGCCGGACGCATGATTAGATGCAGTTGCCACCCACCAGGCGACCTCATAATTGGGGCCTGGAGGGTGTCGGAGCGCCCACAAATGCCATTAATCAATTTCGTGCTCGTTTCATTGCGATCCGACTACGGAATCGCAGTAACGCCGCCAGATGCCAAGGCGATTATTGCCGGCCCCACGGATTTGTACGTCAAGGTGGGCAGCAGCGTCACACTCACATGCCTCGTCAAGCAGCCGACGACGTCAGCGCAGGATATTGGGCCAATTTACTGGTACCGCGGCCCCTACATCCTTACACCCTTCGTGGCGCATCCGAATGACGCGGCCATCGACTTGCAGCGCATCTCCATGGAGTCCACGCTGGCGGAGAAACTGCAGAGCAGGTGAGCATTGGGGGCCAAACAAATGGGCTTGAATACCTGCACTGGGGAAAACCGATTCTTAAAGCTTAGCTTAACCTGAAAATTTGGATTATTTTCAATATATAGATATACCAAACTTAGCCTAAAATACATATTTTCTTTAAATTGCATTTGTTTCTTTATTCTTTTGGCAACGTGAATTGACTTATGTTTCAAATTAATATTAAACGCATTTGCAAATCAAAATCATTTAAACATCTTTAAGAGTCATTAATGCACGTCTGGAATACATTCCATTTTAAAAAATATTTTTAATAATAATTTATGTTACGAACAGGCTTGTGAAAATAAATGTAAATAAATTTTAAAAGAGCTTATAATGGAGCAAGTACAGTCACATTTTATACTTTAATTTTTTTAGTGTACCAATTTAAATTTCTTCCTAATAAGTTTATTTAATCAAAGAATTTGAAAAATTTCTGACTATATTTCTTACTATATTTTTTAACTATAGTTGGTGCCATAGTTGGTGAGAGTGCAAACTCTTAAAAATATTAAACAAAATAATTTTATTTGGGCTTATTTTCAAAAGTTGATATGACGATAATTTAAACTGAAATCGAATTATGCAGGTGTGCTTAGGAGAGACTTTATTATTAAAATTTCATGCTCATGCTCAATATATTCTATGGAATTTGCAGTTTTAATAATGTGATATATTTAATGTTATTGTATAAAAATGTAATTTAGCTTAGATCAAAGTAATTTTCACACACAAAATATTTTAGAGAATTGAAAATATTCTCAACATTTTCGAATAGTTACAAACATTTGCTTTATTTGCTTTCACCTTATTGTGAAATTGGGGAAACGAAGTCCCCATAATCCTGATTCAACAGGCAATTGAGCGTTAAACTTTCGAGTGTTGGAATTTTCCCGCAGTTTGCCAGCCGGAATGCTGGGGGGGGATTTAACGTGCCATCGGGTGCGAGCATTTCCACTTGCTTCATGGCTGGTATGCCGGCTTTGATCGATGAAGTTGATTTAATCGGGGAGGGGACAAAGTTGACGCAATTAAGCTGCACGTTTGCCTTAAGCTTCTCTGTGCTCTGCCTTCCATGTTTTCCAGATTACGCATCGCCAATGCTCAGCTGCTGGACACGGGCAACTATACGTGCATGCCGACCACAGCGGAAGCGGCCAGCGTGGTGGTCAATGTCATCAATGGTAAGAGCGGTCACTGGTCTCAGCCGAAGCATATCTGATATAGCCACACTTTCTGTTTGTCTTTTTCTCCTGTTATGTATTGTGATGTCCTGTGATGTCCTGTGATGTCCTGTGATGTTCTCCACAGACGAGAGTCCAGCAGCGATGCAGAAGAGCAGAGCGATGCACAGTAGTCGCAGCAGTGGGCTAGTGCTAGTGCTAGTGGCCATGGTGGCCAGTTCCGTGGTGCGATGGCTCATTGGTGGCTGCCACTGGGACAGCAAGAGCTGCCGCGATTCCTGCTCGAATTTACACACTCTGCATATCAATTATAGCCAGCTTAACGCAAAATCAGCACCAACATCAGCATCAGCATCTGCCAGCCACTTGGAGCAGCATCGATTTCCGGTCGAATCATGATAATTAAGTATTTGCCACTTTTAAACATCCTGTATATAAAACTGAATTCATAGTTAAGCATATTATGTATGTGTGTAAATCCGATATATGAGAGATGGGAAAACTGTGAGGAATAATTAGTTCATATTTCTGCTTTTGCCCTCCCAAAACTTTATTGTTCGGTTATCAAACTTTTGGAATGTTTGTGAAACATTTCAACTTTCTGCATTTATTCAGAACTGCAGTGGTTTCCCATCGGGCATATAGTAAACTAAACTACAACTACATTTAATGCTAATTTTTATGCCTAGCGTAAATATTTATGTAACTATAAAAAAATAAAAGATGGTGCCCAGGTAATTATCAAATGTAATATTAAACGAAATTTCGCCCGATAATAACATACATTTAGCGATAACAAACACAGAATTCATTGCATCGTTAATTTCCGAATGCAAATATTATTATTGGGGTATGTTCTGTTATTGCAATTAGCTAATTATATTTGTCACTGTGAAAACACTCGAAATCTAATTGAACCTAACTCTCATTAGAACGTCAGGCGTTAAAAAACGAAACTAATTTAAATTGCGCCATCAGCAAAAAAATAAAAACACAAAACGGCCACAATTAATTTGGATTCAATTAAGTTATAGATATATGAACGATTTGTAACCATATATATCGAAATTCTCAATGAGAAACAATAAAATGTATTTTGTTGAAATAAAAACTTGATTTTAACCACCTTTACTGTACTCACCTGCCTTTTTTTTGTTGAAATGTATCGATTTTCCAGCACATTAATTAAATTTCTCTGTCACCAGAGTTGTGTAATTATGTAAGTTAATGTTACTCGAAAATGCCCTTTGTTGAATCATTATATCGTTAATCGCTCGATAATGTGCGTGGACCTAATTTAAATTCGATTAATTCGTGCCTCGACATGAAAACACGGAAAGTCTAATCAACGCAGTGCCAGCTTAAGCATTTCGAATTAAGCGGATCTCGATAAGCCAGCCAGACGCACACCACGGCGTATACTTAATGCCGATCTTTGACCTAACCTGCGCCACTTGACTGCCTGCCTGCCGGCCTGCCGTTCATGGAAAAAAGATTGGCTATCGCTTTAGAAGAGCAAGGGTTTGGCTGGGTCGCGTGGGTCAACAACAATACGTTACGCTTTCTAATTTGCTGCGCCAGCCACACGGGGCGTATGCGCGATTATCAGGCACCGCAGTGTGCGTGTGTGCTGGGCTGTGAGTTCGCATAATTACGCGCAGTTGAGTCGCTTAAATGAAATCATAAATTATCCGCACACACTCACCAGCCGGCCGCTCGCTTAATTGTGTGCAAATATTTTCCAGACGAACGCAATTCGCACTGATTGATACATGTTTCAGCTGACTTTGTTGGCAATTTGAAAGCGGTTTAGGATACTGACAAATGGTGTACTTAATGTAATTACGTTGAATTTAGATCAGCGAGAAGGGTATTTTAACAAAACGCTACTGTGTGGAAATAATGCAAATGCAGCAGGAAAAACTTTATTTAATTTTCAAAAACCTATTTACCATCCAATTTTGGCCCTTTCAAAAGTATGCAGCGACTTTAATTAGCCAACCCCATTGTTTTGCGAGCTATTTTAGAGAAATTGCAAAACGAAAGCCAAATAAAGTTTGAAGGTAATTTCGCTAGGCACTCCGTGAACGGCTGTAATTAAAATCTGAAAATAGTTTCGTGGCAACTTGAATTCCTGTCGTTGCTCCTGTCGTCGTTGTCATATTTTGTAAACTGTCCGGTTAACTAGGGTAAATAAATTGAACCATTAGCACGGCAAGTCAGAAAGTTTACCAGCTCGTGGAGTCCAGTCGATTTGGATTCCTTTTTTTCCGCTGCCATTGTTGTTTACTTGCGGAGAAATAACCGCAGGGGCGCAATAAACGAGACAGAAGCGACGAAAAAGTCCAACTTGTCACCTGTCTGCCCGTCGGGCTCAGCTCCTTGCTCCTTGCTCCATGCTCCCTGCTCCCTGATCCTTGTTGTTTCGTCCTGCTGCCATCAAAGGCAAACATTTATGCAATGCGGAACGTCAGCAGTGACGGGCTGAAAGACCTGCCCGGCCCGACTTTATGTGCGGGCGTTTTGTTTCTCAACTTTAATTGTATTCGACTGTATGCGAAGCTACATTTTCATATTGCAATTTTGGCAGACAAAAGTCAAACGGTCCAAAACGGCAGCTCATAAAAAGTTTTATCGTTTTAAAGTTTTCAGAGCAATTACACAGCGAACGTTAATTAAGCACCGCAAGCAAATAGGCGGCGGAAACAAGGGAGTTGTACGTAAGTCACTTTTGAGCATAATTTTATTTGTGCAGAGGAGCGTGCCGGTGGAGTATTCTTCTTTGCAATTCGACCCTGCTGCATGCGTGCAAATGGCTCTGAGATACAAATCATTACGTTGTGTGAGTTCCAGTTGAGTTGGATACGAAAGGCACTGTGGAACTTTTAGGGGAAACCCGCTCACAAGGCTCACAAAAAAAAAATATATAGTGTAAACCAAAATTAAAACAGGGTCTGAAGTCACTAGTGTTTTGAAAAAATGTTTAAAGGTGTCTAAAAGTATGGAATAAATAATATAAATGTCGAAATTCGTTATGAAAATATCGGACATTTTTAAAAGTGATTTTTATGGCACCCCCATGTTTAAATATGTTGTACTCCTAAGAAGAGATTGTTGTAGCACTGTTTAAAATAAGAGAATATTTATATATATATTTAATACTGTTTAAAATTAAAAATATCCACACTAAACTTAATATAATTTAACTTATTTTAGTTAAACTATCATATCCTAAAAGGATATCTACTTATATAAATAAGTTAGGCATTTATACATTTCCCTCCCAAGACCTTTTTCCTTACAGCACAATATCTATAAGTTTAAACTTAGATTTGTTCCTGAAAAGTTTTGAGTAACCCACTGTCCATCATCTCTAAGCATGCATCTGGGCTATAAAAGTACCCCATTGTGTATGCCAGGAAATTTTGCATAACAAGGCACTTATTAAAAAGCATTATTAGCTTGATAAAAATAAATTACATGCCAAAAAACTGCCATCTATTAACAATAATGTTTGCTGACCCCCGTGCAGCAGTGTCTTCCCGACTGGCCCACACTATCGCATAAATAAATGGGCAAAACCACTGACGTTGGCACTTGCCCGGAAAACCGCAGGAGTGGTGGGCGTAAAGGCCATACCCACCTTCGACCGGCCAAAATGCAAAAGCCTGTACGATTTAATCTAATCTGCCTCCAATGAAATAAATTCATCCCATTTGCGGGATAGGACTAACAACAACAGCAACTGTTATTGTTCTTGTTCTCGGTCTTCTGTGTGGCATGTTTGCGCCGGTTTCTGTTTAACTTTTACCACTAATTAAGTGCTTACACGAAAGATTTCAAAGCAAAAAGGGACACAATGCCGGAATGGCCAGAACACACAATGTAAACGAAAATTGAAAACGAAGGCGGAAACAGCCGGCATCGGCTCAAAGTCCAAGTTTTGGGACCCTGCCTTTAAAAAAAAAAAGTGTTGGCGTTTAATTATAAATTTACACGTTCAGGCACTGAAAAAGAGCAACTCATGCTAAAAAGGGTAAACACATAGCCAGCAACAGCAAGGCCACACACACTCAGCCTTGCATACTGTATTTCCCGGATCTGCTCTTGAGCTCAAAAACAAATTGCGGGCTCGATACTAGAAGTTTTGGTGGACATGGGCAGTACCCAGTGTGTAATGGTACAAAATAAAATATTTGTAAACATTATTAATTTCAATTTTTTAAGGCCAGAATGCTAAAATATTAACATTACTATTTTAGTCTCTCGAAAAAAAAAATTCAATACATGGTTTACGTTTTTACCACTGACCTGCAACATCACAGAGAACCAGAAGACCTCTTGGCCAAATATGCCGATGTCACAGATGTCAAAACTTCGAAACTATTTGGATTTACACATATTTTCTTTACTACACATTTATAGAGAAGTAAATTAAATATAAATCTTTAAAAATTGTATCATCGAAGGTAATGAGCATAGCATGGCCTAAAGCCTCTTCAGAAATGTATTTCACTTCTGTTTACCTCTTTTGTGCGGCTGGGCAGTCGGCATTCGTGTATGGGCAAATACATAAATACACCTATTTACGAACTTATATTCCCACTTGTTTGCGCTTCGGTTGGAGTCTGTCTATATTTACCAGCTTATGGGCGTGTTAGGCCACGCACCTTGGTAAATATATTTGTTAAAGCAAGAGGACCCGCATGGAAAACGAAATATGTTTTACCAAACAGAGTAAAGGGTGTTGAGCCCCCTAAGTAGGTTGGTCAATTTCATGGCATTTAATATTCACTTAAATAAAACATTTTGTACACAATATTCATTTGCTGTAAGTGGGGTCAGGCCAATATGTAGAAATGTGTAAACTGATTAATATATAAAATTAAGGGATGTTCTTCAACTATCATTTACTTTAAGGACCACCATTAATTTACAAGGAACTTTTCATTTCTCACCACAATATGGTATCGAGTTTTCACAAAAGAAACGGAAACAGGAGGCCAATCTAATTATGTTTTTAAACGAAAAGTGCTCTTTAATGATCAAATTGCATTATTGTTGACATTTTCACTATTAACAATGGCTATCATTATGGGGATGTTGTTTTCGAGCTCATTTCCTTTGTTATTACAATTATAATAACGCATGGAGCTGGGGATCCAAAGTGCACTTTTTAAATGATATTATTTCCGGCGGAAATTAAGATTCGACATTGTGTGGGTGCCATAATTCCCGTTGAATATACGCGACAATGTGTGTGTATGGACATGCCATGCATGGCTTTAATGTCTGATGGCAATCAGACCATTCATTCGAGGCGATTGACTGTCAGGCTAACTTTTGTCGATGGCTGACTGGGGCTGGGTAGTGAAGAATCATCTCCGTACCCGGCTGCACCCAGTTGCATCCCGGCAGCAGTGGAATTATGACAACTAAGGGACTCCAATGATAAATGACGCCTCCGTGGGGCACACAATGGGCGAAAGAGAAACAAATGTGCGGCAAGATGCGGATAAGTCGACATCGACGAAGATGTTGATGACGCGCACATTGTCGCCCCGTGGCTTCTGCATGATGAAGCGAATGAATGAAGATTTATGGGGCATTAGACATATGCATGTGTGTGCCGTAGGATAGTGGCAGCGATTACTACTGGGCGGACTGCAGCCCATCATCATCTTCCATGGAAATAATTTCAGTAATTTGCAGGCAGTAATTACGGCGGGTCATTAGTTTTTGCTCTATTTTTCCCACGCAGACTTAAACACGAATATTAAACTTATAGGTCTAACATACATTTTTAGAGAATCAAATTAATTAATTAATCGAAAGCCATTAAATCCACTTCTTTTCGACGTCATTTATATTTGCATATTTTTCCCTACAATAAACATAAAAGACTGCAATCACAAGTTCGCATTTGGATTGATAATACAAAAGAGTATTATATTTTCATAGTGACCCCGACGGTTCGAATTTGAACTGGTTTTCCGATCTCTTCTAGTATAAATTTTCATTTTTTGCAGCCACCAATATGTAATTCATAAAGGTTATTATATTTTTAAATCTATTAAAAAATCATAATTACAATGTTATTTACCTTTTTTACCTTTTTTAGTTAAACTTACGCTTAACTTAAATATTTACATCCTTTCTTATGTATTTGGTGTTTTTTTTTTACTCAAATTAAAATGATGAAAATGAGAAATTATGTTATATGTTTAAAATAAATTTAAATGTGTAAATTACTTTACCGCCTGGCTTAGTCATTCCCAAATTATAATTAAATCTATTTTGTGTGAAATTAAAATGGAATAAAAAGCCAAACATGCCTTTAAATCATTTTTACACAGCTTCAACCATGGCTTTCATTTAAATGAAGCGAACAAAGGCCTCGGGCCACCTCAGTGACAGAAATGAAAGGCATAATTGAATTTTTCTGTTGAGAATTTTTTAATTTCAGCGCAGCTACCCACATCAACAATATAGCGAACCAGCAGGTGGGCTCTTTGGCTTCCATTCACAGCCCTTTGTGTCTGTTTTGGCCCTAATGGAGTTGTTTTCGGGCTAGGATCGATGTTTGGCACATGGTTGGGCCATTACCGGGGTTCGCCCGTGATGTACAAACCTCATTAGCAGGGGCAAAAGGCATCTTAAAGGCTAAGCCCGGCGGCCTGTCATCTGATTTAATAGTACAACTAATTAATAAAAGTTTCGAAAATCGTTGCCTAAAAGCTAGATACCCAAGAACATTGGATTCCTAGGCGGCCTAAGTGCTGAGCACTGCTGGAAATCGCTACATTACAGGGCTTAGCAAGTTTTTAAATTTACTTAAATGCCTAAGTACGCCGTGCACTTACTTTCAATGGCTGCCAGGCTGCCAAGCTGCCAGACTTCACTTAAGCTGCAAACGGTGTGTAAAAAAGATCTGAACTGGGCTGTTAAACCCTTTACACTGCCCTTTGCAAAAAGTTAACTTAATCCCCTGCGTAATTCCAAATGAATTTCATGCTGTGATTTATATACCTTACGGCGTAGCTTTCGGCAGAGGAGAGATTATTTATTTAGCGCCAATCAAAGTCGAAAATAAACTTCAAAATCCTCAAGTCACACATATTTTGAATTGGCAAAACTATTTTTTTTCATCTTTCTCGCTTATTGCCTTTTCACAGGCAAGGTGCCATTTCAGATGTCCAATTTGCACTTGCATTTAACACAGACAATTTGTTTATATAGCTTGACTGGGGGCCGCAAAAGAAAAAAGGGAAATGGGTGCGTAAATATGACAGTCTCGCACCGACAGTAACCATCATATAGATAGCGTAAAAGTCACTTCCCCAGCCACGTTATTAAATAATAAAACGGAGAAATTTACACTCGATTGCATGCATCATTCGAGGTCGATTCTGCATTGCACTGCGAAGTGGCGAAGGGAATGGACCGGGCATTCATTTCGCCGAATGCAATTTCAACCAGAAGAATGACGACGTCAAAAAAAATAGAGGTGGCGATAATGAAAGGGGCGAACAAAGAAAAAATGGCTAACAAGCTATTGAAAGGGCTAAAAACAAACGAAAACTTTGCGAAATTAAAGCCTGGAAAAAGGGGACGGCAAATGGTATATTAAAGGGCATTTCACTTTGGGAATTTGCAAAAAATTTGATTAAAATTCTGCGCGCCTAAAAAATGGTAATGGATGAAATAATTCGTAAAAAGCACTGGGCTACAAATTAAACGAATTACAATTACCTACTCTTTGTAAAACCTATTACGGATTATTTTAATCAAATAATTTTATAATATTGTGGTATTCGAAAAGCATTAATTTTTTTTATTGCATTAATAAACATGTTAAAATGCTCAGTCAAAAAGGCGTTTAATCGCAAAATAGTTATTTTAAAAGTCAAACAAGGTGTATATTTTTTCTGGAACTGTCCACAAAAACAAATAGATTATATATTGGAATTAATAAAATGAATCAATTGATATAAAAAATGTGTCAAGTTATAATGGAAATTGAAACGAAAAAAAAATAATATAAAAAAAATACATAATTTTTTATTGGAATACTTTTTATACTTTTATCTACATGTTTTACAATTTGTTGGAATTTAAGAAAAAATACTAAAATAACATATCACAACTTTACATTTTTACGAAAAAACCATTTTTTTCCCCTTAATATATAAACACAATATTGGTGATACAAATTTGTTAAAATATGGCATTGTTGGGACTTAAGAAAAAACTCCGCAAAAACAATTGTTAAAATTAAACCTAAAACCGTGACCGACACTTTAATGACATTTTTCCAGCCGCAATCAAAATGGCTATGCAAATAAATGAAAACTGCGTACAATCACCAACAGCTGGCCGGATTCAACTGCAGAACCTCCCATTAGCACAATCGCCTGCTAGCTGTCGCCATGAACACGTTCCCGAGTACCGCATGCGGATGGATGGTGTTCCTGCCCCTGGTCCTGATGCAGCAGGACACTCAAACAGCCAACTGGCAGGCTCAAATCGAGCTGGAGCTGCAGGAGCAGCCAGAGCCAGACAAGCTGGCCTATTGCCGGGCCCTCCAGCAGCAGCAGCAGATGCTGCGGATATCGCTCCGCAGCACTGGATGTGCCGCCATTCTGAACAACGAGCTCGCCGTGACAGGCAAAATGCTACTCGAGACTCAACCGCGCTGCTGGCCCGGATGGGGGCTCTTTGGAGGACGGTGCCGCAAGTTAGCCTGAATAGTGTGCGGAGTGTTCAAGGGGCTATTGAAGAGCATAAGCAAATTCTCGAAACTTTATGCAAACAATAATAAAAAACACAATGGCAAATTGCGCAGAGGTCCAGGTTTTTGAGTTCGCTGCCATAAAACTCAAGCATCCATCATATATTCGTGTGTTAACCGTAATCAAGAAATGGTTCGTTCGTTATGTGTATACACGTCATGTTGACCTGTCAGCCCGCCTCGGGCAAATAACAACAATAGCCGACGGATGAAGAGCTGAAAGAGCCGTGTCGGCCATTTTTGTTTATCAACCTTCCGTATGGAAAAAAATTTCCAAAAGGAGTCAATCAACTTCCGCTTTGGCGTTGCCTCTTTTTCTTTTGGCTGTTTGGCCAGTTAGTCTATGGATTCTTTCCTTTAGTGTTTCGCATGGTTGCCATCGCCACTAAAACGCCAAAGCACCGAGTGTCAATCCGACAATCTGTACAAACCCGTAACGAAATGTTGGCGCCCCTAAATACTCCGTGTTATGAGTGGTTTCGTTATGCGATTCTGAAAAGATGTGAATTTAATACCTCCCCAAAGCGTGTGGAATTTATACATGACAGCGGGATATTACTGTTTACTTTTCAAGTTGTGGTGAAAACAATATTATTTCACTGTGTTTTTAAATCGAGTGAATGTGTGGTAATTCGACGGTAATGTTGTCAGCCTTGGTAATTGCACAATTTCTAACTAAATTAGTTTTGCAAATCACGTTATCTTTAAGTTTTTCTACAACTTATTAATATGTGAACATTTAAAGTTATATTTTATATAATAAAAGGCCTCATAACACATTCTGGTTTTCTATTTGACTTTTAAGATCAGTTCTAATTGTCAACACCTTTTACGCAAAAATCTGACAAAATCTCAATGTTTTACTTAAGTTTTAAATCTTCTTAGATGTAAAATAAACGAGTTTCCCAAATTTTTTTGTTATAAGCTTTGGCCCTCTGTACAAAGTCTGGTTTCTTAGCTTAATTTTGGATATGATTGGTACACAATAACTTAATTGTTGCTTCAAAATTAGGTGCTCTTAAGCAAATTAAGGTTCACTAAAACTAACAAAAGTTGCTTTATTTAGTTTTAATAAAATTGGGTTTCAGCTTAAACGTCAAATTGTATAGCTCAGTTTTTCTCTTAACAAATAAAACCCGTATATGTTACGTAAAGAAAATGGTAATGACAGTTGGCTGACGCACGTTAAAAGTGCTCTTGCATTTGATTCAATGCTATCTGCAGTAACAACCCCATTTGGCCCAACTGGCAAACTTTAAGCCGCTCCCATTGCGAAAGGACTCGGAGTCCTCCTGTTCAGGCACTAACGAAGCAGAACGGCGAATAGTTACGCAAAATTGCCGACGACCGCGCGTTGTTACGCGCCACGTGGTCCCACAAAGTTGCACTTGCCATCGGAATCGACTCACAATGCACTGCATCTCAGTCGCAGTCGCAGTCACAGCCGCAGTCACAGTCACAGTCACAGTGTCTTGTATTTTCCACCGCACTGCCGACGAAAGTTTTTATTGGCCAAATTCCCTGCTGCTGTTCGCGTTGCAGTTTTCAGTCAGTGAACAAATCTTGACCTACTACGTGAGTTAACTTGGCCATTTAGAAAAAAACTTTACCAATAAAAATTCCATCGACCAGCTAAATATATATTTCTACAGCCATAATCAAATGTTAAGATACATAAATGTTTTTGAAGTGTAGATTCAACTAAAAAAAAATACTTTAAATTCACTCAAGTTCAAATCGTAAAAAAGACATTTCTGACTGTCACAGAAAGTTTTCCAAACGTAGTTGTTTTCATGTTTAAACATTTTTAATATAATAAATTCAATTTTTTGTTTTTAGCTTACATTTTTATTTATAAAAAATCTAAAGAATATTTTTAAAATGCAAAATTATCTTTATACCAATAGGCGTGATTACATGCGTCCAATAATACAAATGGACAATAGCATAGCAACCAGTCCAAAGTCAGTCAAAAGAACCAAATTTAAATCCGAGAAAACTTAAGTAGTTCGAAAAAATGGCGTAAGTATATTAACAGTAACAACATATATATAATAAAATGTATGCTGGTCCGCAAGTACTCAGGATTACAAACCTGGTGATGTTCCTCTGGAGGAGCAAGATGATCGAAGATTGTTCTGTAAATTTCACTATAAAGGTGTTCTCCTTCTAGTCGTACCCATACTACTTGCACCCATTTTAGCTGGACATCCAGTGTTGGTAAGATTGTTAGAAGCTTGCTAAAAAAAAATTCGTAGTAGATGCTTCAATCGTAATCCTGCAGATATGCCGCTTCATATACATATCGTTGTGTTTGTACCTGATCTACATCCTTAACTTGATGGCCAGAGGAGGTTTAGCCTTTATCTACATTGTATTTATACCCGTTGCGGGCATAGCCGGCTCGGGCAAAGTCAGTACCTCCTATTATACGGATCTAATATTCTTGGTATATGGCGCTATTTTCATGGGCATTATGATGGACAGTTCGAAGCTCAGCGAACGGCTGGGCGTGTGTGTGGCCAGCATTGTGGGTAGCAGCCTGAGATAGTCAGTAAAGTGATTGAATGGCGAAACTCCATCACTAACGACATCCTTTCCGCAGTCTTCAGATTTTCTTGACCATCCCCGTTTTTCTGCTGGCCTTTCTGGTGAGTCCCACTTTAGCCGCTGCCTTTTCGATGAAGGTGGCCCAAGCTGTGATAACAGAATACGATAACGTAAGCAACTGCTCTTATTATGACTAGACATCGGATTATATGCAAAGCAGTAGACCTAAGTATTCGATTTCAAGCAAACTTTGATACAAATGTGTATACCCTTGCCGAGAGTTATCAGAGGGTATTATATTTTCAGTCTTTAAGTAGTATATATATTTTTGATCAGGAGCTAGCCATAAAGCTCAATTTTCTTAAAAATATTTTACCACCCGTCAATTTTAGTAAAAAAGCACTTTGGTTTGATATTGAAGCACAAAAAAAATGAAATATGGTATAATACAATTTATAAAGTTATAAACATTTCAAATTAAAAAGTCCTCGAATTAAATTCAAATTTATATTTTAAGAAAAATTTAAGCTGGTTCAAAACATGCTTGAAATTAAATGTTTAGAATCTGTTTTTCCATACAATCCGGGGTCTAATTTCAACTTACCATAATCGATACCTTTTTCAGGCTGGCATTGTGAAAATGAACTCTGACGAAAGCCGATACGAGCCGGGATCGTGAGTCCTAAGTCATAGTAATGTGACCTAAAAAAATAATTGCATAATTTGCAGAAAACCATATCCGACACGTCCAGTGATCGGAATCTATCTAACCTGTTGCTACACTGCCACACTGGCAGGCAGTCTGTCGCCCTTCGTGAATCCCAATGGTGTTATTTGCGATATTTTCTGGTTGTTATTATGGGTTTTATCAATAGAAAACAAGGAGTGCCAAATAACAATTTTGTTCGTTTCCCCCCAGGTTTCTGAGTCTTGAGAACATGATGCTGCTGATGGTGGTACCTGGCATTTTGGGGCTATTCGTGATGGTCTTTTGGATACAAATCCTCTTCCTCGGACTCTTCGGTGGCAGTGTGAGGCGCGACCTTGCCGAACTGGAGGGCAACCGGGCGGGTTTCCGCCAGTCAATGTACGACAAGAGACAAGCAATGGGGTCCTGGGGAATATATCCCATGTTGGTTTTCATCTTGATTATCATTTTGTTCATACTTGTGGCCACTCGAAATCCGCGCCTCTTTCAGGGCTGGGATGATATAAACACCGCTAACGAGTCCGGTCCCTCGGTGCCGACCATTTTCATGGCCATCCTCTTCTTCGCCATCCCGGCCAACTATTTCTTCTGCAAGTACTATGTGTGCCGGCAGCCGGAGACGGAGGGCACCAGTCCCTCACTCCTCGGCTGGAAGGCGGTGAACACCAATACGCCCTGGGCCGACATCTTCATGCTGGGCGCCGCCTTCAGCTGCGTCTACTGTGCCCAGAAGAGCGGTCTGTACGAGGCGGTGGCCGGGGCCATGACCAATCCGGAGGGCGGCTCGGGACCCCTTCAGTTTGTGTGCGGCGCCCTGTTCGGAACCCTGCTCACGAACCTTTCCCCAGCCACCACTGTGGCCAAGACCGCACTTCCCATTATGGTCAAAGCGGTGAGTGTTTTATTGGTTTCAAATTGAAGACCATAATGTTCCGATATTTCAATTTTATAATCTTAACAAATTCTTTTGGGGACTATCTTCTATTAATTTGCACTTAATTTTTAATATTTTTTCGTCCTTTTCTACATTTATTGGTTTAAAGTTATTTTAAATATGAAATTGTTTACATTTTTTTTAAATTTTGCATTTGACTATTTAAATTTAACTTTTATATAAATAAAATGCAATGAAACTATAATATTATACCCATTAATTCTTATAATTAAATTATAAATTTAAATATTAATTATATTATTTGGAATTCAATAGTCAGATAATCATCACTTAACTATTGCCCTAGAACTATGATAGTTAACAAATTGCAAATTCTGTAGATATTGGTATTGTTTCTATTGGTCGGCATATACTATCTTCTAACTATACATTTTTTATCACAGGGAGGTACTTTTGTTTTACCGTTCGCCACCGCGTTGCACAATCAGTTCTTGCTGCCTGTCAGTTCCCCGTCGAACACCATTGTCGCCGGCTGGGGCAACATAAGACCTTTCCAATTCGTAAGTATTTCGAACTTGAGAAATAAAACGACCAACGACCACTCATTCGCCATTGCAGTTGATGGCTGGAAGTGTACTAACGATCTTCATGTTTTTGACAATTGCTGGCTTTACTGCGCTACTTGGCAGCACCGCTGCACCACTCTTCTTTCCCTAATTCAATAGTTATCGCTCCTCAATAACCCACAAAATATCTATTTCGATTTCGACCGCATTTAATAAAATTACCGAGTAAGCTTTACTGCAGTGTCCAACGCAAAATTGTTGACACGTTTGGCATACACAATGGGAGTAGCAACTGGACTGGGATTGTTATGCCACAGCTGCTCAACGGACATCCATATCCATCTCTGGGAAAAACCAAAACAAAATACAGCTGTCGCAGTCGTTTTGAGAAGCAAAAGAAAAAAAGGATTATAAAGCAAACAAACAAGACAGAACCTTTGGCCACAGGTGCACAAAGTTTGTACTAATAAAATTTAAAATTGGATATAACATATAGCGCCAAAATTTAAGTGTTTAAGTAACCAGAAGAACCAATATAAATCTTTTAAATAATATAATATTTAATTTTAACGTATTTACTATGACAGCCTATTTTAAGCAAATAAAAAGCAGCCAAAATAAACGCTATACCATATTAAAGGGCGGAGTGTGGACCAACGCTTTTAAGCAAATTACACAGTTTCGCATTTAGGGTAATCCCCGCCTGGTCATTCGCACCTAATTCACATTGCTCTAATCCAAACATTGCCCACACAAGTGTTGGCACTAAATAATTCAGATGTTAATTTAGACGCGGACCGTGGGCATGTATCTCGCTAGCAAACTCTTTCCGGCTGAATACTTTCTGGTTTGGTTGCCAACCTCTGGCTCCTCTCCTGCTAAAGGACATTAGCTGCTGGAGCTCCTGGCGGCACCAGCTTCGGGCCAACATTTGTACTCAAACTACTTAATTATTAATTTCGTGGCGTACAGTTCGTGAATATTCATAACACTCCCGACAATTCAAAATTGCCCATTTAATTGATTTGGCCAAGGCTAACGACCGTAGTGCTTTTTCAAACTTAAAAACAATAAAAATAATACAATACAAAATAATAATTAAAATCGAGTAATAGTCCATTTTACAGTTTATTGTTGACTGGTTTAAGTACTTGGGCTAACTTATATAAGCTTATGAGATCGTGTGTATTTGTTGAATAAATTCCATTTTTTTATGAAAAACTATTACTACTACTATATGTTACATTATATTGCCATACTACCTTTAATTTACTTTTTTTCTGCAATCATAATATACTTATAAATAGCTGTAAATCTAGACTGTGACACTTTATCACTTATTTTTGTAATGCCTTTCAATTTGTTATAGAGATTCCATGGGCTTTTTTGCGTCTTAGTCAAATGCGGAATTTCCACCTTAAAGTCATTGTGAACGCAAAAGGGGAGCGCACAAATTATGTATATATATTCAAATGTCATGCACGCCTTAAGCTGATTTTCTACTCTGGCAAATTCCAAGCTTACTGGCATTTCCGCATTCCCAAATCTAGGCTCATTATCCTTCTTGACATCTGCTCAGGTTTCGCCAACAAATTGATAAAAAGAAGAAGTGATTCCCGGTTTTGTAGCTATTAAATCCCATTACTTCTTAGACCTTCATCACAATAGCGCTTTTTTATGAAAATAACTTAAGACTCGGTATTATGTTACAAAATAAGAGTTTATATCGTTCTAATAATAAATAACTCTTTATGCTGAGCTTAAGTTTTATATATACTGATTCTAGCAAAATAATATTCAATTACATTTATTGAAGCATACACGTATTGAAATATAGTATAAATAACTTAATATGTAACAAAAACGGGCTACATTTTTTCCATCAGCCGAATTTATTAAAATGCAAGTATACATTTAAGATAATGTTTTATGTTATAATTGAAATGTTTTCTACAAATATCATTCCAGCTGTGCTGTCATGTGCAATCGCAACTGTGACTGATTTTGATATGCAGTCAGGAATCGTGAGGAACAAAAAATAAAAGGCGTGGGAAATTTTTACTATTGTCTTGACACAAAAAGTAACAATGCAAATTGCGATACAAAACAGGCAGTTTTGAAAGGAGGAAACAATTTGCGTCATAACAGTGCGCCCAAGAAAAACATGGTGTTGGACTATTCACCAAAGGCTCCATTATTTCCATTCATTATAACTTTCAGAGTGTACTCTTTTCCTTGCTTTAATTTGGGTCTTCTCGGGTTGCATTGTTTGCATTATGAACAGACCCCGAAGGTTTTAGGATAACTACCAAACCGGAAGCTGAAGTCGGTCGTTGTCCTCCTTCACACGTCGACAGCGATCTGGAAGACAGCTTATTTTAGTAAGCCTTTATTCAGCTAGCTTAACTTAGATTAAAATATATAAAATTAAAAAAAAGTGTTTATCATCCAGATAACCAGACCAATAAATGGACAATTCTATACTCACAAAGCATAATCATTAAACTAATTTAATGAATATACGTTTTTCCTTTAATTTAACAAATTAAATCTGACTATCAACTATATAAATAAAAACCGCACTTTACACGGCCAATCAGGAATGAATTTTTTTTTAACTTTTTACGAAGGACTTAAATAACAATTCATAATGTTTCTTATTCATTGAATTCATAACAGCATCCAAAACAATTGAACAGCTAAGATAAAATCGTATGTCTGACTTTTGTCACTGGTAAAGAAAAAATAAAATAAGCACTTTTTAAGCGCGGGTATGTATGTATGCAAACAACTCGATGAGGAATACCAAAACACACAATAAAGCGGAAACTAATGAAATTAAAGCGATTTTATCGAAACAAATAAACAATGGCCGTTGATGGCGTCGCGCATGTGCACACACCAATAAGCATGATGGCAAATTGTATTAAATTTATGTTCGACGCGATAAAGTCCTTGTTTTTGAGCAGTCATCATAAGCGACCTATTTGTTTAATGTTGTTTTTAATTTAACCACCCAACGAAAAAAGAGCCATCAAATTAGCCCACAAGGCAACGGAAATCGGGCAGCCATGACGCCATTTTTCAAAATGGTTGTATTTGCCTTTCCGCCCGTTTGCCAGTCGCTCTCTCTCTCCCTCTCCGTCGGACTGACTGTCTATCGCCATCTCTGTCTAGTGATTAGCTGTCACGAAGCCACGGCGAAAGGCAAAAATGAATTATTATCGCGTTGCGTTCCGAATGTTGACATAGATTTAAATTATTTGTAACAAAATCAACGAACTGTGTCCGCTCCGTTTCCCCCTAAAGTCCCGCCCCATCGACTCGGCTTATCCTTGAGTCCACTCACGCCCCAAGGTCCTGTTGCTGATTTGATTGCCCAGCAAAATGTTTAAGCAAACACCACAAACCACTGTTCGGTATGCTCTTTTAGGGAATTTCTTGATAGCTTTACCTAGAGATAAAAATCGAGAAGGTTTAAGGCACCTCACGATTTTAAATTGATATTTCATACACAGATTTAATATATATTTGTTCCTTAAAAAACGCAAAAGCTAGTTTTGTTAACTGTAACATCTTATTTTAATTTCTAACAAATGTGTATTATATTTAAGGTGTTCCCCTTATAAAAATTGTCTAATGATTTTTATGAACTGCCTGTAGAATATATAACAATCTGCAAACTTAACTATATATCTTCCTTTTTAATATATTTAGCTATCATTGCTAAAGAACATGAAATTTTGCATAAATTCCAAAATCCTTTGCTAATTTAAAATGGTTTTATAAAATGTTCATCTTGTCTTTCCTCGTAACAAGAAGAAGCGAACTAATAGGCTCAATTAATAAACTTTCCCCTAGCTTGGAAACTTGTTATGGCTGCTAACTACCAAGTTTTTCCTTCAGCTCATTTATTCCGAAGGCCAGTGGTAAACATTTAGCTGGCAGGAATTGCAAATCCAAGTCCATGGCAAGGCCAATGCTGTTGTTATTATTTTCACTGCCATCTTTTGTAGTAATTAGGGCCCTAGGATATAGTTTCCCCAAGATTAATTTGTCACTATGAAAATAATGAATATTTCTGGGTCAAATTTAAGGGTTATGCTCTTGTTTACGCATTATGTCACTGTTGTTCTTTTTGTCAACTGTTTACTGGACAATAAAGTCCATAAGTACATCAAATGGACTTTGTTTGTGACTAAGTTTTTCTTTCTTTTCTTTCCGTGCCATTGGGCTATTCCTATTTCTCGGGTAATTTCTGGTAAATACCTTTTTCCATTCACAAGAAAGGGGATAAAGAAACGCTGTCAACAACAAGGATTGATTTTTTTATATTCTTCTTTTAGTAGCTTTTTCTCCTTTTTGATTTTCCCCTAGTAACTGCTCATTACCTTGAAGCAGCTTCAATGTTTTCCACTTGTGGCATTAATTTTTGCTGTGTAAGCAGATAAATTGCAAAATGTCAAAGGTTGTTGACAGTCATTGGCATCAAAATGGAATCCAGTCACTTTACCGGACCCTAACTCTCCGAACGCCAGTGGAGGTGTCTGTCAAGAAGCAAAGTAAACTTAAACACTTTAGAAATTGTGTGGGTCGACGTAGTCAGATTATGACTTAAGAAATGCAGTAATGATATCTTTGACTCCCCACAGATAGAAATATTACAAAAAGTAATTAGTTTCATTGATAGCGAATAGACCTATTTTGCAGCTTAAGTTTGCATTCTTTCTGGCTCGTTTATCAATAAATTGTATATGTGATTGATGTCTGGTTGTTTTTCTAGAACTTTCACCTGAGGTTAAACAAATTTATGAATTTGAGATTTTGGAGTACAGCAGGGCCTTTTAAAAAAAAAGAGTATGGAAATTTTGAAGTTAATCGGGCGCGGAGAGATGACACTTCGCTTTCCTCTGGGCAATTAGCTAATGTGCCGATTGCGGTTGGCCCAAGGCATCGGCAAACATTAGGGACAATTAGACACGGCATTGATTTCGATGTCCGCGTTCCATCACATTATCAAGACTCCCTCCGGTCTTAAGCCGCAAACATTATGTGCATTACAATGCCCTCGGGATGTTTGGGGTTTACCCATGATGAACTAATTAAAAAGGGGATGTCGAGCGACGCCTTAAGTTAGCAGGTAAGATGTTTCTAGAAAGGATTCGAGAATTTTAATTTCTCTTTGCAAGACATACTTTAATACGCTTCAATAAAATGCATTATTTTTTACAAGTATGTATTAAAAGCTAAATTATCTAGTTGAATCTCAGCAATATTATATATTTTTACCAACCTTAATTTAAAGGGGAACCTTTAAATTTAATTTTAAAGTATTCAAAGAGTGCTGTGACTCCAAATTCATTTGTGACTTACGGCAACGAAAAGTTGATGTTTCCAAATTTCGATCTTTAAGCAAACAAATAATGGTTACGAAAATAATTAAAGGCCTAAGACGGGAGATCAGGCCCTGTGTTCTAAAGTTAATGCCGTACTTCGTAATGTCGTATTACTTTATGGAAGTGCTCTACTCACTAGTC